AGGGAGAAAAAGGAACAAACTCCCCTGTGATAGAAGATGCATCTTGAAACGTGTTGTTGTGTGTAGGATAACTAGCTTGCTCTAAAGTGTGGAAATGGAAGTGGTTGACCGCTATGGAATTGAACTTTGAAACTCAAACACTTAGACTTCAAAATTAATGGATTAGACTCGAAAAACAGACTCGAGAAGCACCACCTTGTGGTGAAATGGAACGCGTCGTAGTAAGCGTCACAAAATTAGTTTTTTGGTTTTCTGACTTCGACAACACGACGTGTTGTAGTATACCAGGTCGTGGTGATTGTAAAATAGAACATATAAGAACTGAAATGAATAGATTTTTGTGATATCTTGTAGCACCAACTCATATATGTATTGATTGGACGTGACTCTTCACTCGTTGACTCAAAGTAACATCCGAAGATGCTCTAAACTTGCCTATCTCGCCGTTTCTATCTTTCTCTAAAAATAACTCCCTTTTGCCAAAAAATACCCTCACTTGGACTCTAAATTCCCGGAATCTAAATCAAAGAAAAGTAATGAAACTAGGAAACATAGTGTTGAGTATTTGAGATATTGATACTGATTTGGCATATTTGGTTATTTAGGGAAGCCTTTTTAGGGTTAATCATTTTATGATTCCCTACAGTGCCCTTATAGTAGAAGTTCTTAATCGAGATCTTCTAAGGCATTGGTTTTATATTAAGGCATTTATTTTATATTTATGGTATATATTTATTGTTCCCTATAAATAATCATTAGGTTAGATTTTGAGGTAAGCTTTTTACCAGATTAGGGTTTTCTCTGTATGTTCATGCCATAATAAATATACGAAAAACCTTGATCAGATTACTTGCATATTATGGTGATTGATTCTTGATTGTTCTCGATATTCCGCATTCGTCATATCGGATTTACTCCCAACAAGTGGTATCAGAGCGGGTTCTTGTAGATCTCAGCGATTTTTGCAAGAATCGATCTTGTTTATGGCAAAATTTTATCTTGAATCTCATCTTGTTCTTCAAGTTTTGTAAGTTTTCTGAAAAGAAAAAGTCTACTACTTCGTTTTATTACAAAATCTTGTTCAGATCTGTTATCTTCTACTCTTTATTTTATGTGATTTGTTCTTGAATCGAGTTCTGGGAGAGAATTAGAAGAAAATTTTTCTTGTTTGTTCAAATCTTTGTGTTCATATCTACTTTATCTCTCTAAAATTCATCTCATATCTGTTTTCTCTCACTAGAAACCATCTCAGGTCCGTTTTCTATCTCTAGAATTCTGATCAGATCTACTTTCTCTCTCTTAAAGTTCTGTCACTTGTTGAATATCAAATGGATCTTTTATTTTGTAACTCCATTTTAGAAATTGGATTGAAGTTTACTAAACCAATCTATGGTGTAGACAAAGTGACTTTGTTTCATGTTCTTGGTGGTTTTACGTTAAGGGATATTACTGAGTTATATAATTCTTTTTTTGATGAGAAAATAAATGAATACTCATGGGTTAATGAACCTGAATTACAAAAGAATGAGAGAATAGTAGAACAATTTCATATTATCTATGGACATTTAGATCGAGAAAATAAATAGATGTTGGAGATGAACAGAGTTGAAAAAGAAAAACAAGAAGTTCATGATGTTCTTGGTGAAGTTCATAATGTTCTTCATGATTCTGAAGAAAAGATGACTCCAGATGTTCTTGTTGAGGGGGAGTCAAGTGGTTCATGTTTTTCAGAAGTATTACAATCTGAATCTTTATGTTCTAATGGCGTTTTTGAAGGAATGATTCCTTACAGAAAAGCCAATGCTTCAAGAAATTCAGATTTATCAAAATCCAAAAGTTTGTGTGTCAAAGTCATCTAATGTTCAGATTCAGAATGGTGAAAAGGTTGTTCATATCCACAATTTGTTTCTGAAGCCTAGAAATAAGAAAAGGGAGAAAAGGAAGAAGAACAAGAGTAAAATAAAGAAAGTTTGGATGCCCAAGGTACAAGTACCTAATGCTTGTGAAAAAGTTGAGAAAGTTGAAGTCAAACATGTTCAAAGAAACTTTAATTCTCATTTTTCTTCAGATAAAAATGTTAGAAATTAGAAGGAAAAGAAAAGAGAATTTGGTTGGTTCAATGAAATTTATGAAAATTTTTGTTTTCCAACTAAAAGCCGGGTATTATTTTCAGAAGATAATAGATTCTCTTCAAATAAGTGGGTGTGCAAGAAACACACATCAATGTTGAATTTTAGATGGGTACCGAAAGTCCCATAAAAGATTTTTGTCCTTTATTTAAAAAAACGAAAAAGAGACAAAATATGGTGAAATCTTATGAAGATTCAGTCAAAGAGGAGAAATTTTATTGAAGAAATCAATTTCCATTGACTTTTAATTGTTGGAAATGACAAAAGGCTGAAAAAGGTGAAAAAGGGGGTGAAAAGTGACATTTTTTGCAAAAAGAAGGCTGCCATGCGACACATTTCAGCAAAAGGGGTACAAGCTGTCAGTTCACTGCATCAGGAGGGTCAGATTCGCATTTATGAAAAATGCGGGTTAGATTCGGAATTATTCCAAAAAGGTTGTCACTTTCGGAATTTAGGTTCAAACTGCAACCTCATTGAAACACTAAGGGTTCGTTTTGTAACTTTACGATTGGACTTCATTTTCTCCATTGGCAGTTCGCAACGAACGTCAAAATCTGATTCGCAAGTGTATCACCAATTAGACGATCGTCTACGAATCGCTGCGAACATTCGCAGGCATTCGTAGTCAGTAAATCATGTTCGTGTTCATGGCTTGATGGTTCACAGTTGTAAATCAAAAATGAAAAGTAAAACGAAAAGTCAAAATTAACTGTGAAACGGTGTGTACAATGGATGAACGACCAACTTGCAAACTCTTTGGTGCGAGCGCATTCACCGTGATCGAATGAAATCGGAGTCGGAACCAATGAAATCAGGATTTGGAGTAATGAGAACGTTCGCAGGCATTCGTAGTCAGTAAATCACGTTTGTGTTCATGGCTTGATGGTTCACAATTGTAAATCAAAAACGAAAAGTCAAAATTGACTGTGAAACGGGGTGAACAATGGACGAACGACCAACTTGCGAACTCTTTGGTGCGAGAGCATTCACTGTGATCGAATGAAATCGGAGTCGGAAAAAATTAAATCGGGATTTGGAATAAGGGGTGTACCCGTTCGCAATTGGATGTCAATGTTGAAAGTCAAAATTGAGACTTTGCAAATCGATTCACCTGCGAAAGCTCTCTACAACTTAAAAACGAACCAGTTGACTCGATTCGCATGTCACAAACGATCACTGTGTTTTCAGAACGAAAAGGGAACATTTGGACTATCGATTAGATTCGCAACGAACGTGTCAATTGGGATTCGTAGCGAACTTGTGACTGTGATTCGCATCTCTCGTAGGTATGGATTTGGAGTTCCAGTCGGCTCTCAATCTGAAACGAAACTGGACTGGGTTCGCGTCTTTGTGCTAGGAAACGATTGAATTGATTGGAATCGTATTTGTAATTTTGTATGCGAATGTTCGTTTGAGTCGCAGTATTCTTTTAATCAGGAGTAATTTAGGTAAAATGAATCATGTTACACTATTGGTCCCTGAAACTTCAGCGAGTTGACCGTTCTAGTCCCTATATTTTTCGTGGCTTGGCAGTTTTGGTCCATTTCCAGAAATTGTTACAGATGAAAGGGTGTATGATGCAGACTTATTATTTCAGTCCCCTAACTTTCAGACCTTCACAGTTTCAACCCCATATCCAAAATTCTTTCCAAAATTTTTGGATTTTTACCATTTTTACCCCTTCTTTCCAAAATATTTTTCATTTCTTATCCTTTTCTTTGGTCTTATTCATTTTTAATCCCTTCTACATTATTGATTCTTTTTCTATTCTTTTGTCTAAATTTAAAAATCGAAAATACAAAATTAATTTTTGTTATTTTTCCGGTTTTAATTTTTAATTTTTGAAGATTGGGATTATTCTAAAAGGGATTTACTTCTAAAAGGGATTCCGGATTCTCTCCATGGTATTTTTTTTTGAAGATTCAAGGGGAGTGATGATTATTCAAGGGGGAGTTCGTTTTTGGAAGATTATTTTGTTGTTGTTGCTTTGAAGACCCCATGTGTTGATGAGTCTCACAATATAGGGGGAGAAATGCCAAGAAGATCGGAAATCGTGATCTTCATCAGTTTCAACATTTAGGGGGAGATTGTTGAGTATTTGAGATATTGAAACTGATTTGACATATTTGGTTATTTAGGGAAGCCTTTTTAGGGTTAATCATTTTATGATTCCCTACAGTGCCTTTACAGTAGAAGTTCTTAATCGAGCTCTTCTAAGGAATTGGTTTTATATTAAGGCATTTATTTTATATTTTTGGTATATATGTTCCTTATAAATAATAATTAGGTTAGATTTTGAGGTAAGCTTTTTACCAGATTAGGGTTTTCTCTCTACGTTCATGTCATAATTAATATACGAAAAACCTTTATCAGATTACTTGCATATTATGGTGATTGATTCTTGATTGTTCTTGATATTCGGCATTCTTCATCTCGGATTTATTCCCAACACATAGTTAAACATCAAAAATAAAAGATAAATATCCAATAACCAAACCAAGCAAATCAAACACACAAAAAATAAAAACACAAAAAAAAAGCAAAAAAAGTCTTGAATCCACTTAAACAAAAGGATAAAACACTCTCATTCTTCATCATTTACATCACTATATCCACCCCCTCTGCCTCCGACGCCTCCTTGCTGCTCTGACTAAAGTTCCTCCTAACTTGGTGCATAAGGGTAAGAAACCGGAAAATGACCGGGTCATGGGAAATGCATCTTCTCCATCATGTAGTCCAAACTCATGTTGGTGTAATTCGCACTACGTGCCAAATTATCCTGAAATCTCCTTGACGCCACACTGTAAGGATCCTTTGGTCTTCAACAATGTTTTCCCATTTGAAAAGGAGAGGAGAAAATGACTTTTGAGGCTAAATGGTAAAAAACATTGCATCATGTTTGTCAAAAACACCAAATGATCGTGCAATACACGTGATCAACATGCCACCATAAAGAGGAGACTCACACCTATCTTTTCCCACCCGAATTGATAGAAAATCAGCCAACAAGAACGGAATGTCCAAATACACATCGGGAGTCACCAGAGCCCATAGGAAAATACGTCCAATGTCAGGACCTTGTCCCCTTCCTACCTTTGGTTGATTGTATTCGTTATCAACCGGTACAGGTGGCGATGGAAAGGCGACCTAATATCAATTTATTGGGTTGTCCCCTCGTGGTAGGCCCTATTTTCAATGTTCTGCCAATGTGTTTCGGCCTTGAACCCTTCCATGATTTTAAGGATACCCGTAATAAACTCCATATAAGAATTTGTTTGTACTTCATTCGGGAGATATATTTATGTCCTGATTGCGAGCTCGGTAAGGCTAAGTGCTTGTCTTTCGCCTCCAAGACAGAATGTAATGTTTCCTTCATCTATTGCACCCATCTTTATTTAGAAGGAAACTATGGCTAAAAATTCAACCACCAATTCCTTGTAAACGATTTCTTGGATTTGAAATAGTCTTCACCAAACCATGCACAAGAATTGCCCTTGTACCCCAAAAAAAGTTCTAACCAAAATTTTCTCAATTCAATCTAGCAACCCGGTTTGGCCAATCCACAACAGCTGGAACATGAACCTTCCTTTGCCTCATCCAGTCTAGCTTCCCATTCCATTGTGCCAAAACCTCAGGACTCACCACTCTTGGAAAATTGCACCATAGAAATTCGGGGCAGTTCCTAGGTTGGTTGCGGCGTGAACGGCTAGCCATGGTTGTAAAATAACCAAGACAACATACAAAGAAACCATATGCAAGACTAAAACCAAAATAAAACAGATTAGGCCTCAACTTTGGTCACCACGTCGAGGACCACGATGAGTCGTCGTGGTCGACGAACTATCGTGTTAATCTGGCAGATAGCGAAGTAAAATCCATGCTTTTTCAACTAAAATCAACTTAAGGGTTTGTTTAGGGTATGAAAACGAGTAAGATAGCAACAAACTCAAGCAAAACATCAACATCTTGGTCCGATTTTTGCCAAAATCAAAACCCCAAGTTCTCAAATTCGGCCCTAAATCTTGTTCTAATCACCAAATACATACCAAGTACTAGTAGACACTCGAGTATCAGAAAGGAAATCACATTTTAATCATACCTTTTGGTTGAAAGAACAAAGAAATCGAAGGTAGAAGGATGAAGTTCTTCGTGGGTGCTACAACACAGCGAGAGAGAGGCGGAGAGTAAAAAGTAAGAAAATGTTTTGAAAGTGGAATAAAACCCTAAATTGGCTAAGTTTAAAACTTCACCGCTTCGTGGCGAGAGCACCACGTCATGGTGTCATATAAAAATTCGATGTATAGTTTTCTGGAAAATCACCACGGCGTGTTGAAATATACCACATCTTGGTTTAAAAATAATGTTATTTTTGTCAAATTTTTATAAAAGTCTCCACCCCACACTCATTCCATGCCATTCTCCATTTTGAAATCCATATAAAAATTCAGAAGAATGAAAGAGCAAAAACAAAGCAAAAATAAACAAAAATAAAGAAAATAAAAGAAAATGAAAGAAAATGCAAACTCAAAATCATAGGTTGCCTCCTGCAAGCACTTCTTTTTAGGGAGTCATAAGTCGGACTGCTTCCCGCTTTACGTTGATTCAGCTCGTGTATTTGACAATTTCCCCCTCTTTTTCTTCAATTGACATTCCTTCTTCGTAATGCTTTACTCTATGCCCATTAACCCTTAAAGGGGTGTCGTCTCTCGATAATAGCTCAATAGCTCCACGTGGGAAAACTTGTTTAACAACGAATGGCCCATCCCACCTAGTTTGTAACTTTCCCGGAAAAAGCTTTAATCTTGAATTGAAGAGTAGTACCTTTTGTCCTTTGTGAAAATCCTTGTGTCCTTTTAATCTCATGTCATGCCATTTCTTAGTCTTATATTTATAAATCAATGAACTAGTGCATGCTTTGTTTCTTAGCTCTTCAAGGGCATTCAATTGCATCAATTGGTTGGTACGAAGTTCGGCTAGTTGAAAATTACAAATCTTCAAAGCCCAAAATGCTTTATGTTCGATTTCAACCGACAAGTGGAAATTTTTTCCATATAGCAACCTATATGGTGTAGTACCAATAGGTGTCTTGAAAGTTGTACGAAATGCCCAAAGTGCATCATCAAGCTTTTCTGACCATTCATTTTTATTTCCTCCAACCGATCGTTGAATATTCATTTTAATTCCAGATTCGTTACTTCAGTTTGTCCACTTGTTTGAGGATGATATGATGTTGAAAATCTATGGTGTACACCATATTTTTGTAACAATTTAGCGAATTGTTCGTTTGCGAAGTGGGTACCCCGATTACTAATAAGAGCTTTTAGGATACCAAATCTTGAAAATAGCTTTTTAAGAAAACGCACCACCACACGAGCATCATTAGTAGGTAGTGATTGTGTTTCCACCCATTTAGATACGTAGCCAACTGCCACCAATATATATTTATTCCCTCTTGACATTGGAAAAGGTTCCATAAAGTCAATCCCCCATACATCAAATATCTCGCAAACTTGAATGCTATTTTGGGGCATCTCATTTCGGGAAGAAATGTTTCCCGACTGTTGGCATGAATCACACTCCTTAACATATTGAGCAACATCTTTAAAAATAGTAGGCCAATAGAAACCGGTATCAAAAACCTTTTTATCTGTATAGTGTGCTCCATGATGTCCTCCGGTGGGCCCGCTATAGCAATGTTTCAAAATTTCTCGACTCTCCTTCCTAAACACACATATCATCTCGTTCGCGTAGCTTCTAAAGAGGTAAGGCTCATACCAAAACTAATACTTGATTTCTGAAAATAATTTCTTCTTTTGTTGTCGGGTGAACTCTTTTGGAATATATTCGCTTGCTAAGTAATTAGCTATGTTTGCATACCACAGTACCTATCCTGCTATAACCAACATATATTCTTTGGGAAAGTCATCTCCAATCTTGTTTTCTTCAAATTATTCCAAATGCGGGTTTTCTTGTCTCGATAAGTGATTAGCCACTATGTTCTCCATTCCCTTTTTGTCTCTAATTTCAATGTCAAATTCTTGTAAAAGCAATACCCAACGTATCAATCTTGGTTTGGCAACTTGTTTAGCAAAAATATATTTAAGGGCAGAATGGTCGGTAAAAACAGTAGTTTTGGATAAAACTAGATATGGGCAGAATTTATCAAAAGCATAGACCACCGCGAGCAGGTCCTTCTTGGTAGTAGTGTAATTCTCTTGAGCCGGTTTTAGAGTTTTTCTTGCATGGTAGTTAGGTTGAAAATGCTTTTCAACCCTTTATCCCAAAACAGATCCAACAGCCTAGTCACTAGCATCACACATCAGCTCAAAAGGAAGACTCCAATCTGGGGCGATCATAATAGGGGTACTAGTCAACTTCTCTTTCAACAATTGAAAGGCTTCAAGGCATTCTTTATAAAAGTTAAATGGAGCATCCTTTAATAGAAGTTGAGTAAATGGCCTTGTGATTTTCGAGAAGTCCTTGATGCATTGGCGGTAAAATCCTGCATGGCCTAGAAAACTTCTCACCCCTTTTACATTTGTTGGAGGTGGTAATTTAGCTATAGTTTCTACTTTTGCTCGATCCACCTCTATCCCCAACTTTGAGACTTTATGTCCCAACACAATTCCTTCCTTGACCATGAAGTGGCACTTTTCCCAATTTAGGACTAGGTTGGTTTTTTCACATCGATCTAGCATGAGGTCTAAGTTGGACAAACAGTCTTCAAAAGCGGACCCAAAAACTGAGAAGTCATCCATGAAAACCTCCAAAAGTTTCTCGATCATATCGTGGAAGATAGCCATCGTGCACCTTTGGAAATTGGCTGGTGTGTTGCATAACCCAAATGGCATACGTCTATATGCAAAAGTCCCACTTGGGCAAGTGAAAGTGGTCTTTTCTTGGTCTTGTGGGTCAATTGGAATTTGAAAGTATCCCAAAAAACCATCTAGGAAACAATAGTAAAGATGACCGGATAGACTTTCGAGCCTTTTATTGATAAATGGTAAAGGAAAGTGATCCTTTCATGTAGCATCAATAATCTTTCGATAGTCGATGCAAACGTGCCACCCAGTTACCATTCTTGTTGGGATTAGCTCATTGTCTTCATTGGTAACCACGATCATTCCTCCTTTCTTTGGTACCACGTGTACCAAACTTACCCATGGGCTATCGGATATTGAATATATTATGTGTAACATCCATAAATTTTCAGTAAAATTTAAATTTTCAAAGCAATCCATTTATTAAAGAGGTGTTTACAAAAACCATTGTTTCCAAAACATTTATTTAAAACTGGAATCATTTACACATGGTTTTCAAAACATAAACGTTATCAGAGTATCCCGGAAACCATAAGTCCAAAACGCGATGATGTGTACGGTCATGCCTTCTCCTTGCCAAAACATCTGAAGCACCTGAAACAATAAATTGAAACCGTAAGCACGAAGCTTAGTGAGTTCCCCAAAATATCAACACTCACAAATAACACATATCATAAACAACATACTATGGGTCCAATCAACCATCAGGTTGGAATGCCAACATACTGCGAGTCCAATCATCCTCCGGATGGAATACTCTCAGCCCTCAACCATTGGGTTGGAATGCCAACATACTGTGGGTCCAATCAACCATCGGGTTGGAATATCCCGGCCCCTAAACCGTCGGGTTGGAATGCCCCGGCCCTCAACCATCGGGTTGTAATGCCAACATACTGCGAGCCCAATCATCCTCGGGATGGAATACTCTCGGCCCTCAACCATCGGGTTGGAATGCCAACATACTATGGGTCCAATCAACCATCGGTTTCGAATACCCCGGACCCTCAACCATCGGATTGGAATGCCAATATAGTGTGGGTCCAATCATCCATTGAGATGGAATACCCCGGTCCTCAACCATCCGGTTGGAATGCCAACATACTATGGTTCCAATCATCCATCGGGATGGAATACCCTGGCCTGTTGGCTTACGCACAAAGCAGTAAAGCCTCAGTCATCAATCAAACATATGCACATATATCAGATAATCACATAACAGTCTACATACAGTCAATCCGATCTACAGATCACTAAGCATAGCAACATCCTATCTACCAGGATACCGATCTAACAGATCATAACCACATAGAAACATCTTATCTACCACGATACCGATCTAACATATCATAACAGTAATAAAGCAGGATAACAGTCCAAAGGGTCGGCCTTGGTGTCGTAGACCGTGTTGATATAGTGAGAAGAACTCACCTCGCAATTAGCACTGGACGATAATGTCAATCTCCCAAAACACATCTCCCAACTCCAACACCTACAACCACCATAGGACCAATTCTATCAAGACCCAAATTACCATAATACCCTCGGAAGTCAACTTGGTCACCCTTGGTTAAAGTCAAAGTCAACATTCAAGGTCAACAATCCATGTTGACCCAACTCGTTCAGTGCATCTAGCAACTCATACAGTGCATCTAGCAACTCGTCGAGTTCCTTCAAAACTCAGAAAACCGTGAAAATCGAGTCAACGCGCCGAGTTGCCAAACAACTTTTCGAGTCCGTATAATGTCCAGAAGATTGGGGAAAACCCTAACCACTCGTCAAGTTATCTCACCAACTCACTGAGTTCACTCAGAATCCAAAAGCGAGAAAAACCATATCCAACTCGTCGAGTTAGCTAAGCAACTCGTCGAGTTCCTTCAGCCCTTTTTCTCATTC